AAACAAACGTGTACAGTACTGAACTGGACTGTGGGCACTGTACTGTACTGTACGATTTACTGCGTTGTAAGTGTTTCTTTTTTTCCCCTTGCTTTTGTATGCCTCGTCTCCAAACGCACAGTATTTATTATTATTATTATTATTATTATTATTATTCCGGGAATGTCGATGCGAGTGACATGTCTGGAAGTTGCAAACTCAACCACCTACTGTACCTACCTACCATAAATCCAATCATGGGGAAAAAAGAACGGGCGGGGAGGAGAAACAGAAACGGAGCAGGCAGGCAGGGGGGAAGGGGGGAAGGGGGGGGGGAGAAAGGCGGAACAGGGCGGGGATTACGATTTGGCGGTTAGGTGGATCAGGTTGGGCTGTGTGTGGTTTGGCAGGTTTAGTAAGAGAAGTACGAGCACTGGTACAGTACTCGTACTGTACAGGGTGCACATGTTCACTCTAGCTAGCTAAGGCCGGCCGATCGGATCGGAGGGAGGGAAGAAGGGAAGGAAGGAAGGGAAGGTGTTTGGTTTTGTTTGGTTCTTTTCTTCCCCTTCCCTTTGGGAAGCTCGTCGAGCACTTGTTCTGTTTTGGACATGTCGGACAGGGCAATTGTTCGTGCGCTGTTGATTGATGCGGACGGATGGCTGGTTTATTGATGCAGGTAGATGGCTGGCTGGCTGGCTGGATGGATGAGGGATGGATGGGCAGATGGATGGAAGGAGAAAAAGAAAAGAAAGGAGGAAAAAGAAAAAAGAAGAGAAGGGAAAAGAGGAAAACTTTTTTTTGTTTGGTGGGAGAAAAATGGAAATGCGGTACCGCGGTGTACCGCTTGCTTATGTATTTCCTTCGCTTTATGGTAGGTGAATATGTACGAGTATGTACGGCCAACCCATCTCGGGGAGAATTTCAGTTTTCCGACGAGAAGGTATGATACAAGTATTCCAAAGGTACTTGTTTGTAGGCCACGGCGGAGTAGGGTACGAGTGTGGTACCGGTCAAGAATCCACATCACATCACATCACTTGTCTCCTGTTCTGTTCATTCACACCCGCATCCCAACAAACGAATGCCCCATCAGCATAATCAGGGTTGCATATGCAAGCATGGAACCGTGTTCCAAAGACTCCAAAAATACAATCTTCTACTTTCCCCTCCTCCGCTGTACGAGTACGAACCTGGTACCTACCAATAAGTCAAGTCAGATCTCAGCATGATTCAAACAAGTGGAGAAAAGGAAAAACCCCCATCATCGTTTCACCAAACAAGAACCGTTGTTTCCTCTTCCCCCGTCAGCAGAGGGTAAAGCCTCGGCGTTGTTTCGTTTTAATAATCTCCTACGAGTCCCAAGCCCCCCCCCCCGACAGTAGAAAATCTTACCAACCACCCCGGAAAGAAAGGAAAGGAAAGGAAAAGAAAGAAAGAAGGGGAGAGGAAACAAAACGAGGATGGAGAAGAAAATAAGCTGAAACACGACAACAAGCGAAACAAACCCGCGGGCGAAAAAAAGGAAAAAAAGGGAAGGCCAAGAAAGTACTCGTACAAGTAGTGGGAAACGAATAAAAAAAAAAAGGAAAGAAAAAAAAAAGGGACTCGCATCAACGGGCAGGCACGAGGAAGCGAGTGCCGGTAAACGAGTGAGGTGAGGTGCGCGCGCGCCAGAAGAGAGCCCCAGAGGTTTTTCCTTTTTCTCTATTCTTGCCATCAGCATGTCCAGGTATCGACCAATCGATACGCACCGATAACCGGAGCCTGCTACAAGCCTGATAGATTTTGGTACTACGCAGGGTACATAATGTACCGTATCGTACCTCTTCGTTCCCCCGCAAAAATGATCCCTGTTCGGGAAGGTAGGAGGGAAGGGAAGGGGAGGGGAAAAAGTAAATATGAGTACATCGGGGTAAAATGGTAGGTTATGCGGGGGGATGAAATTGTACTCGTAGGTATCATATTGTACTCACGGGTGTGGTGGGGTATCTTTATTAGGGTTTGGGAAGAGGAAGAAGAGGAGGAGAAGGAGGAAGAGGTTTGTGCTCGAACCGTACCGGTACTACTAGTATCGTATTCGAGTACTCGAGTATTGTTAGACCCGGGGGAAGGGTGATCGAGGAAAAAGTGAGGATGGCGGTGATGATCAAGGGTAAGGTAAAGTTAAGTTATAGCGTCAGCTGCGCAACATGATGTTTCCCGATGTGCGGGAGGGAAATGGGAAATGGGAAAGGGAATGCAAAGGTAACAAGCAAGCAAGCTGGAAGAGGAGGGGGTGGTGGTGGTGATGAATGGATGACTGGCCGACTGGTGGGGACAAAAATTGGACGAATGTGGGGAATTTTGGGGAAATTTTGTTTTTTCTTCTTCTTGTTGCTTTCTGGTTCCCGCGGTGCGAAATCGGATGGAAATGTTACAAGTATGATACTTTAACAAAAGTGAACATCGATGATGTGATGTGATAAGCAGATGATAGGGTAATGGACCAGGCTTACCAGTTAGGTAGGTAGACCTTGGCGGGGGGGTCGAGAAAGTGTGTTAAATGAAGGTACCATATTACTGGTACGGGACATTTTATCTGAGTCTACTTTTGATATGGATCGGTGTTTTGATATCGCGAGCTTTTGATATGGTGGATAGATGGATGGATAAGTAAGTAACGTCAAGTACCGGTGTATACGATACAGTACATGAGGCATGAAGGGGTGGGAGGGCGCAAGATGCGCAAAGAAATACCCAGAGTGAACCATTTTTCGGGTTGCATACTCGAGTACTCGTACTTGTACAGTATCATGCCGAGTCATTATCATCAACTTTCGGAGGAGGAAAGAAGGAAGGAAGGAAGGAAGGACTCTGTGGGGGGGGGAGGGGAAGGAAGAATTGAAATTTGTTTCATGTTTCATGTCCTGTCGCGTGATATGGTTTCTGGCCGTCGGACAAAGCGAGTTAGTCACCCATCAGGTAGAAATTGAGCTCGAGAGCTTTTGAAAAGAGAGGGGGATAGGGATATCATAAAACAAAAAAAAAAAAAAGTGAGAAAAAGAAGGGAAGAGGAGGAGGAGTATCATACCCGTATGATAATAGATACCAAGAGGAAAATACTTTACGGTGCGGAACATTATCCATAAGTCAGACAAAGGTACTGTAACCTTCAATGTACCATAACCTAAGCAAATCATAAAGTCTGCAGGAAAACAGGGCAGATGGAAAGCGCACAAACCCACCCACACCCACACACACACACTTTTATACTTGGGGGAGAGGAAAAGAAGAAAAGAAAGAGGAAAAGAAGAAAAGAAAGAGAAAAAGAAAAAAAGATACGATATCTCCCCGCTATCACACAACTACCATTGAACCCAAGGTATCGTAGGCGCGGGCACTGTACCTGTATACCGATTATCAAAGCCATAGTATGGTACAGCTTCGCGGAAAGAGTGAAATGACTTCAACAATGGGAAAAGGTAGGAAGGAGGAGGGGAAGGGAAGGGAGAGAGAGGGAAAAAGAAAAAAAGAATAAATAAAGGTAAAACCAAAGTATCCACCAATATGATATCTGAGGAAAAAGTACCCCATCGTAACATTTCATTTTTTAATAAGTAAAAACAATTTACATCCTTTCGTGCAAAACCTCGCACAAACAAAACACTTGTACTTACTGCACCGAAACTCCTGGGTACGGTAGCGGAATAA